AGTTATATCAAAAGTTATCCGGTTGTTCTTCGTAGTGTATCTTTTATACTGAGGTTGTCTTCCCGTTGGAGGAGTAGGAGGACAACTGCATTTAATGCGCGATCAGTTGACTTGACTAGTAGAGCCCGATAAAGTTGGCGGGTTACTATTTTGGGATAAAGTATTCCTGACATTGCGGCCAATCATCTGCAATTACTCTACGTAGCATGGGGTGCATTAAATGAGCATTTAATGCATGCACTGTAGCTTTTCCGTTTCATATTCCTAGCCGTTGAAGGAATCTTTTAGTTGACTTCCCGGTTCTTTGAAAATCTTCTAAGTGTCAGACCTTCTGGTGTCTTTGTCTGAGAGTAGAACAGAGGAGGTCTGGAGCACTTCTGTTGGGAGTATCCAACAGAGACCCAGAAGGGTTTCTGTCAGAGTCAAGACTAACAGAGATCCTGAGGACTTCTGTTCTGGAGCAGAGAACCAAAGGTCCTCTGTTTCAATAATGCCTTAAGAGGCACTTCTGCTCTTGAAGTCCTTCTGTTCTTGAAGCCCTTCTGCTCTTGAAGGTCTTCTGTCAAGTCGAATACATCTAAGAACTTTACAAAGGAAAATTCTAATACATAATTTCTAAAGGGGTACTCTAAGATCCTAATTAGTCTAGCATCATCAAAATCTAATTACAATTATTCCTTACAGAACGTGAGAAAACATTACTTCAAAGCTCAGAAATAAAAACCAGACGACACTTGATCACAAAGGGGGAGATTGTTGAAGAATATTTATTGTGAATCAAGTTTGTATTCTGTCTTGTAGTAGATTAGCCTTAATATGCCTTCTAGTAATCTTACATTGTATTTACTATTGTATTAAAGGATATGGGGCCAAAGTGTCAGGCCCATATACCTGACATAAAGGCTTTACGCAAACCTGGCCTCGCCTATATAAATGCGCGTGTGTCTTAGGTTTGCGTCAACTGAGCTATCGACCTTAGAGCTCTTAACGCACATATCATTCTGTAAAAGGTCTACGGTATATCAAAGAAGGGTTTCAACGATCTTCATCTTGTTTATCATTCTGTGATTCTCATCTTTGTTATACTGTCATATTGCTGTTAGTTTAACTATAATCTAAACACGGACCAACAATTTTTAAACATGTAAAAATAATTATGAAAATTCTACAAATGTACCAAAGTTAAATTAAAAAAAGTTAGTCATTTTTTTAATTTACTTTCACTAAAATTTCATTTTTTTTTCTTGTTTCCAATTTATTTTTCCTAGTTGTGTTAACAAGTATTGATTTTGTATTATTTTCCTTTATTCAATTTCACCTTTTGTTTTTTCAAAAAGTATATTGTGATTAAAAAAAATTACGATTTAAATCTTTATTCTAGATGTTTTTAATGAAAATCTATTTTATTAAATTTTTATGCTATCTTAATTGTAAAAATCAAAATTCTCTATTTTTTCAATTTTAGTAGTTTTATTTCTTTCTATTTTCTTTATTTTATGAAAAAGAAAAAAATGAAATAAAATTGATATATGAAAGAATTTATATAGAGAAAATAGAAAAAAATTACAAATACTAAAATGGATCAAAATAGAGAATTTAGATTTTTAGAATTAACATAGCTTATAAATTATATAAATATAATTTCATAAAAAAAACTAGAATAAAGCTTTCAATCATAAAAATTTTAGTCACATTTTACGTTCTGAAAACAGAAAATGTAAAATTGAATAAAGGAAAATAATACGAAATCATAACTTGTTAACGCAACTAGGAATAATAAATTGGAAAAAAGCAAAAAAATGAAATTTTAGTGAAAATAAATAAAAAAGGACTAAAAATATTTATTTTAACGTCGGTACATTTGTAGAATTTTCATAATTATTTTTACATGTTTAAAAATATTTAATTTGGAAATGGAAAATTTGATAGTAATAATCCCATGCTATAATAACAGAATAAAGAAGAGGTTTCGTTCTAGGGTATCTGAATGGTTAAGCAAGAACATTGGTCGGGCAAGATGGCAGAACAAGAAGCCGGAGTGGATATGGGATGGTGACTTGATGTTGTTGAAAGAGTATTGGGGGTCTGATTCATTCAAGAAGAAGAGTGTTGCCGGGAAGAAAAACCGCAACTCCCAGAAGACGAAGGAGTCACAGTATCGTGGCGGGCGGATTCCGGTCAGTAGACATGTTGAAAAAATGGTAAGTTCCTAGCTACTTCACTTGTGTAGTTGAATAATTCTGTACTGTTTAGAATTATTAGCAATAAATTATGATATATTTATCATTTCTGTGTTAATAGACCAAAGATTTGAATCGGGCTCCTCTGAAGATTGAAGTGTATGAGAAGGTGTATGTTCCTAAGGAAGGTGACCCTCCACAGCGTGTTGTTGAAACTCGGGTATGCTCAAAACATATTCTGAACAAATATTAAATTTAAAGTCTGCTATGATTTTTTCTGAATATCAAAGTTACTGACATATTTGTATCATCTACAGCAAAAGTACGATGAGTTGAAGGTGCAGGCTGAATCTCAAGGGAAATCGTACGACGTTGGTGATTCTGAGCTTTTCTGCCAGGTGGTTCCCACTTATCGAGGACGTCAGTACGGGATGGGGTCCGAAGCGGAGTCTCTGTCCGGAAGCGTTGAATGTTCAAGCCGGCACTCGGGTCCCACCCAACAGGAGAGTGATGCTCTTATCCAAACACAAGTGGAAGCTCGATTCGCGCAGCAGGAGAAAGTTTGGCGAGAGCAGATGGAGAACATGTCTAGCGCAATTATGTCGGTTTTGCGACAAGTCCAAACCTCTAACCCGTCTGTCACGATGCCTAATCTGGAAGCTTTGTGTACCCTGACTCCTGTTCTGATGAACTGCCTTCATGATACTCTTCTGAAATTCGAATGGATGAACTGTTTTCCTCTGTTGGCCTTGTTTAATGTTTTATGGACATGTTATTAATCATCTTATTAATTTCTGTTATGGACATCTTCTATTTTATTTTTCTGCAGCAGGTTTATGGCAATGCCAATATGGCATGTTAAAACATTGTTTTTAATTATGTTTATATTGCACAACTCGATCAGTTTTGTTTTACATATATGGCATGTTTTATTTGTTCAGTTTGCAATGATACATATATTTGCTTTATTATTACTGTTTGAATCTGTATTGGTGTACAAAATTTACTGTTTGGTTGAAAAAAAATGTATACTGTAGATATGTACGTACGTCGTACATATATACGGTATACGTTTTTTTTGAATCTCATCACGTTTGGCTCGGAAATAGCCATCACAATACTTGACATAGGCATGTAAGACTGTGTCAAGGAATTCGTACCAAAAACCGTGCCTAAATGAAATCCGAGCCAATTTTTTGGTGAATACGTCGTACGCTACAGGCACGCAATGGTCCCAACCAAAATCCCTGCCAAGCTGTGCGAAAGATCCTTAAAACCGAGCCAACACGTTTGGCTCGAGCTAGGTGGCACGTAATTGAAAAACGTGCCAAATCCGAGCCAAGACCGTTCGTCTGGGAAATTTGTGAAGGGACCCCTACCTATATCCGTGTCTATAACGAGTTGTTTTGGTAGTGTGATATGTATATATCACTAAAAAACATGATGCATTGGTATCACAAAAATCCTTGTTACATATATATCACAGTTGTCTATAATGTATATATGTTATAATTTTGTGGCACAAAAGTGACTTGTTAACGGTGACACTAAATTTTGTGTCACTAGCCCCGCTTTTCTGTGACACTTTCAGAGTGTCATTAAATCGTTTAGTGACACTTATTTAATGTCACTATAAGCCATTGTTTTACTAGTGACCTCTACGCCACTTGGTAGTAACAAACACCCCTAAAAAGGTCATCAATATTCTACACAGATTTATAACCATTTTTTTGGGAGGGAAATAAAGGTGAGAAAAACAATTACTCCCTCCGTCTCGCTAAGATTGTCCCGTTTTACCTTTTAAGGAAATCCCACTAAGATTGTCCCATATCAAATTTTGTAAAGTATGTGTGGCTCTAAATCATTTTTACTTTATTCCTACTTTATCAATTTAATATCAACCACACAAACTCACTTTTCATAATAATCGTGACACCTTCTCTTGTACTATTTAAAAAGTTGGGCAAAAATTTGGGTCAGGGAAGAAGGGGGACTCAAACGCAAATTATACCGTGGGATCGGCCCACCATGAGCATGGTGTGCCGATTCCCAAAACGGCATAGTTTCGTTAATTAAAACAAGCAACGAACTCCATTTTTGCTGATGTATGTGATTAAAAAACAGAGAGCTGATAACAGCAAGCAACAAAACCTTCATCGTTATTGCCGCTGGGATGGTTAGTGCTACAAAACCTTCTTGGGAAGGTTTAATCATGAAAAATATAAAGATTTAGGAGAAGGCTACAGGTAACTGGAAGGGTACGTACTCTGGAGAAAATCATGTGTTATATAAACGATTTATATATAAACATCAATTGGAAAGGCTACTCTGGAGGTTTCGGTGGGAGAAGCTCAATTAATCCTCGTCAGATGAAAAAAATTGAGTTAAAACGCAACTAATTAAATACATTATAACTTCATCTCAATATTAATACATGGAGTGACCCTTCGCTGAACTACGCTCCCAAAGTTTCATGGTGTGACTCATAAGCTTAATTCCTGGATAGTTGACACATTTTTTTGGGTGTCCCTGAGGGGTTGGGGGTCCAAGGGGTGGAGGGAATACAAGAGTTCAAGCTGCTCCCAAGCAGATGAACTCGCCGCGGGAATCGAACACCTTCACGGTAATGAGGGTATACACATGAGTAAAATTTAACGGTTTAGTGGAATATCATCATTCATCAGCACCCGAGGCCCCATATGGGACCCGATACCCATTCGTTTCAACGTTCTTCCGTGTCCTTCAACCAACTAAAACAAAACTCAACAATTCCCCTATAAATACGCTAGCTAGCCTAGCAAGTTCATAAAAGAAACAGACAAAGAAACGCAAATTGCATTGCATCTTAGCTGAGCTGAATATATAAAAACACTAACCGAAGTGTTCAATATATTCAGCCGCCATGCAAGACATTGTCGAAATCCTATGTGGTTGGGTGTTCTGCATTGTGGTTTTTTACTTGTTGTATATTAAGGCTGTTCCATCCAAACAGGGCCTACCAAGATCCTACCCATTCGCCGGTCATATCTTTGCCATGCTCAAACACCGCGAGACCATCCTCGACTGGACGGCCGACATCCTCCGAAAGTCTCCGACGTCGACGTTCTCCCTCCGCTTTCCTTTCGGCCGCGAGAGAATCCTCACCGCCAACCCGAAAAACATTCAGCACATCATGAAGACCCGGTTCAAGGACTACCCCAAGTCCCGGAACTTCGAGGCCTCTTTCCAGGACTTGTTCGGCGGCAGCCTTTTTCTCGCCGACGGGGAGAACTGGAAGAAGCAGAGAATGCTTTACGGCGCCGAGTTTCACTCCAAGACTTTCCTTAGTTTCATCGAGACCATCACCCACCAGGAGCTTTCCGACCGGATGTTTCCGCTCCTCTCTGACGCCTCCGCCGGCGACAAGATCTTGAACATGCAAGATATACTCCGCCGGTTCACCTTCGACGTGGTCGCCAGGCTCGGCCTCGGCCACGACCTCGCCTACCTCTCCCCGTCGTACCCAGAGATGGAATTCGGCGACGCCTTCGACGAAGCCATCGAAATATGTTGGAAGAGGTGCCTCTCGCCGTTTATGACGGCGTGGAAAGTTAGGAAGCTTCTTGACATTGGGTCCGAGTGGCGGCTCCGCCGGGCCGTGGGTGTGCTCCGGAGGCTCATCCGCAAACTAATAAGGGAAAGAAAGGAGTTCGGAGACGACTTCTTGTCGAGGCAGGTTTCGTGTGTTTGAGTTGTGTTTTATTACGTGCTTCTCATTTAATCTTCCTCTTCATATTTTGTCATTTTATTTTATTATTATTATTACTCATTTATAGTCCTTCTCTTTCGTTGTGTAAGATAAACTTTCCTTTTTGACCTTTACTAACATTTTACATTCTCAATTATTCTTTTATCTATCATTTCATTGGCTCGTTAATTAAAATTGTAAAACAAGCACTTTATCTTTTATTCTTTTTAAACATGTACCAAACTAATATGCATCTTGCATTATGGGGTAGGTAGTAATTATTCTATCATGTTTTTTTTAAATATTGACAAAATTAATTTATTTACAAAAATATGATTAAAGTTACTATTATAATCACTATACATAAAATATTACTACCCCGTCTCATTTTATGTGTCTCACTTTGACTTGGTACGATTATTAATTAATGTAGTGGTTGAAAAAGTAAAACTGGTTGAGATTTGAGTATAATAAAGTGAAGAAATTTTATCAATCCGGGACCTGAAAGATAGACAAACTATCAATTCGGGACCTGAATGATTGAAAACTATCAACTTAGCACCTTATTTTTCATAAATTTTATTTTTATTTTTATTTTAATTCCTACATTACTTTTTTAATGAATTAACAGTTCGGATATACGGAGTATATACATTAGAGTACCTGCAGCATTTCTTTCAATGTGATGCAGTTTTTCAAAAAAAAAAGCTTCAAATGAATTTGAAATGTTTGAGATTCAGATCGTAAAATGAAAAGAAAAAAATTGAAGAGTTGTATCTTACAAAATATTTAATTATATACTTCACTTATGTGGATGATGTTTATGATATACTCGTATAATGAAAAAAACATTACTCGGTAGCACGACTTTTTTATTTAAATGTGATTAACTACTGCATGAGAAGAAAATTTGAAAATTTTTAAAAAGTTGCAAGAATAGGTCGTTGGAATCCGCTGACAAACACGGGAAAGGTTTACACGAGCGCCGCGAACTGTGGTAAAGACACTATACTTGTAGTGAGACAACGAATAAAAGTGACATAATTTCAAAAATTTCTCCGGCAAAATATACTCCTTGAACACGAGTTTTAATAGAAAAATAGTAGGGTAAATGTAGAGTGTGTAAGGTAAATGATAAAGTAGGAAAGAGTATATTAAAAAGAGTAAAGTAATGATAAAGTAGAAAAAAAATATACTAAATAGAGTAAAATTATGATAAAGTAGGAAAGAGAATAGTTTGTAAAAAGTAAGAAGGGTAAAAGTAATACAAGTGGGTGTATTTTATCAAAAGCTTTCCTAAAATAGAAATAGAGACAAATAATTAAAAACCTCTCAAAAAGGAATGCGAGACAGTTAATAAAAAACAGAGGGAATAGATAAAATTAAAATTTACGACATGTATATTTTATTTTAGAAATAGGACATTGTTTTTTTAATAAATAGGAATTTGTTATCTAGTCAAAAGAATAAAATAATAAAAATCTATCAGAATAAATCATTAAAAATAGGGCAATCATTTTTTTAATAAATAGGAATTTGTTATCTAGTTCTTAAATAAGTGCAACAGTTAACATTTCACACTTGCCGAGACACAACTTTGACCATTAATATATATATATATATATATATATATATTAGTAAAAAATTTAAAAAAATTAGTATTTGAAAATTTACAATGAGACAAATTTAATAATATATTTTTCAAAAAAAATATTAATACATCAATAAATAAAATGTAGTCAAAGTAGAACATGTGAATAGTGTAAAATTTCACATGTTGCACTTATTTAAGAACGGAGGTAGTATATAATATTTTACTGAATTAAACTTGAGAATTACCTCGTAAAACATACGGAGTAGATTATTAAAAATAGGTGAACTATGGTTTTTGGTATTCTATTTGATTGAATAGCATTAATTTTCTTTATACTCTGATAGTAGAAATTGATCAATACGGAGTATAAGATTAAGACATATACAAAATTCAAAAATAGGAGTAGGTTTATTTTATTCCCCAATAGGACAGTCCTACTAAATTTTCTCTTCAAACAATAGGAGTAAGTTTATTTTATGGAAATGGGATTGCTAAAACCCTGTTTTAATTTCATGAATTTCTTATTTACAGGTTAATGAGCAAGAAGATCTCAGACGAAACGTTCCTCATCGACGCCGGAATTGCCATTGTTCTCGGCGGAGTCGACACGATGGTGTCCGCTTTTACATGGCTGTTTTGGATAATCGCTCGCCACCCCGCGGTGGAAGCAAAGATTCTCCAAGAAATAGAGGATTTCGACGCCGGGAAAATTAAAGATATGGCGTACATCCACGCCACAGTCGCCGAAAGCATGAGGCTCAACCCGCCGGTTCCGTTAGAGGGAAAGCAAGCGAGAGAAGACGACGTGTGGCCGGACGGGACGAGGGTGCAGAAAGGGATGGGAATCATCTGCCACACCTACGCGGTCGGTCGGTCAGCTGAGGTGTGGGGACCAGACTGGCCAGAGTTCAAACCGGAGAGGTGGTTGAAGAAAGAAAGCAGCGGCGGCGGTGAGCCGGAGCGGTGGAGTTTCACTGCAAGGGACGCTTTCACGTACCCGGTGTTTCAAGCTGGGCCGAGGATATGTTTGGGTAAGGACATCGCGTTCATCCAGCTCAAGATGGTGGCAGTTTCCGTCTTGCGGCGTTTCCGGTTGGTGGACGTGGCCACGGCCACGGCCGCGGACGGTGGCGGTGCACCACTTTGTGAGTCGTATATTAGTTGCCGGATGACAGACGGGTTTCCGGTACGCATTGTGGAGCGTAGCAACTTCCATAAATCTGGGGAGGCTGCTGCATAAAATTCATGAAACCATGTTAAAAAATATTCCAAAATAAGTTTTAATTTTTTTTTTTTGAAATAAGTTTTAAAGATATTACTGCACCGTTTTATTTTTATTATTGTTATGGTATGATTTTTTTTAAACGCCTGGATTTCGTTAAGCTCTAATTCAAGCCGTTGTAAAGTACGCCACTTCGTTTTTATATGATGCATGGGTAATACTACATTCATTCTTTTTTAATTGTGACATTCTATTTTTTGTTCTATTTACATATTTATTTTAACTGTATTTTATTTATTAATGTATTTTAAATTATATTTTAAAAAAAAATTGTTAAATTATTCTCATTCTAAATTTTCAAAATCTGAATTTTTTAATTTTTTTACTAATAAGTAATGAAAGATATTAATCTCAAACTTATGCATAGGAAAACGTGAAAAGTGGATTATTGAAAGTAAAAAAGAACGAAGGTAGTAGTTGAAATTAAGTAAATGCTTCCGTACGGAATAAATGATGTTGTGCAATAGTAGTTGTATGTGTATCAAATATCTTTCCTATTTTAGCTATTGGAGCATTTTGATTAGTTAATAACGAGTGGTACACTTTGTATCTAATAATAAGGAGAGTTAGCCATGTATTAGTTGTACCTATACATGAAAACTAAGAAATGGGAAAGGCTAAAGGGTCAAATAGCCCCTAGATATGTCGTGTAAACTCAATTCAGATCTTGAACTAAAAAGGGTCCAATTCGCATTTCGAATTGACAAAATATGATTCAAATTTCGTTTTTTACAGGTAACCAACCCCTCACCCACCACATCACCGGTCTGATTGCCACATGTGCATCTAAAGTTGAAACTAAAAGTTCAAATAAGGCCCTGAACCGGCCAGTCATAGTTGATCAAAAATTAAAAAAAATATTTAATACGAAGTATAAAAAAAATGAAACTTAACTTTAATTTTAGACTTTATATTCATGCTTTATATCTATGTTTTTACATCAATATTTTATTTAAGAATTCATTTTTATTTTTAATATTTTATTTTATGTTCTTTTATTTTATTTATATGAAAATAACAACATTCGTATATGAGAATAATTACTATGTTTTATTCCTAGATTTTTTGTTTAGAGTTTTAGATTTGTCCTTACATTTATATTTCATATTTCATTATATTTTCAACATTCTTTCCTACTACTCCCTAATTTATTTTGTACTCCCTCCGTCCCTTATAACTTTGTCAACTTTCCTTTTTTGGATGTCCCACTAACTTTGCCACTTTCCATTTTAAGTAGAGAATTTGTGATTCCAGTTCATTCTCTCTCCTTTGCAAAAACCTCAACCACACATACTTTATTATTTTTCGTGTCGGTCAAACTTGTCAAAGTTATTTGGGACGAAGGGAGTATTGGATAGATAAAAACTCATATTTATGCTTAAAGTTATACGTAGGACAAATATCTCCGGATTGAACTTTTACATTTTTTATTCTATAACTTTTTTTAAGTGCTATAAATTCCTCTTTTATATTTCATACATTTTATTTCAAAACCTACGAAATGATAAAAATATACTAACATAAAATAAAACATTAAAATATTAATAAAATCTTAAATAAAATATTGATAAAACACACACACACACATATGTGTGTGGTGTGTGTGTGTTTATAAAGTATGAATATAATGTCTAAAGTTAAACTTAATTTTCATATTTATAATTTTTTATTTTTTGAATTTTTTTAATTTATTACAACTTTGACACTTTTTAATACTTTAGGGAGTGATTTGATCAACTGTGACGGGTTCAGGAGCTTATTTGAGCTTTTAGTCTCAACTTCAGATGCACATGTGGCAATCAGACCGGTGACGTGGCGGCTGACCGGTTGGTTACTTGTAAAAAATGAAATTTAAACAATTTTTTGTCAGTTCGATGTGTGAATTAGTTTTTTTTAGTTCAAGGGCTGAATAGAGCTTGTACGACCGGGTCAGGGGTCTATTTGACCCTCTAGCCTTTCTCATTTCCTAGTTTTCATGTATGGGTACAACTAATACGACATGGCTAACTCTACTTATTATATACAAAGGTATGTATACCACTCGTTATTAACTAATCAAAATGCTCCAATAGCTAAAATAGGAAAGATATTTGATACACATGCAACTACTACTGCACAACATCAATTATTCCGTACAGAAGCATTTATTTAATTTTAATTTTTTTCTTCATTCTTTTTTAATTGCAATAATCCACTTTTCGCGTTTGCGTATGCATAAATTTGATCATTAATATCTTTCATTCCTGATTAGTAAAAAAATTAAAGAATTCAGATTTTGAAAATTTAGAATGAGAAGAATTTAACATATTTTTTAAAATATTAATTTAAAATACGCCGCCGTTTGGTTACCACACGTGCTCTTTCATGCATGCCTATGATGGGTTCCACACGTGCTCAGAAGATAATGGTGAAATAACTACGCCATCGTTACAGAACGTACAACGGTAACTTTTTAAACGATTCCTTTTCTCTCTCACATAGAGCTATTTATACCCAAGTATCCAACAATTAATAATCCTACTTCTACTCTCTCACTCATTTTACTTGGAAAACCCTAAAATCTTCCTTACTCACAAACGTCCTCACCATCTTCATCTCCTTCATCTCTTTTCAGCAAAGAACTTAATACTTTGAAATGGAAGCAGTGGCGGACCCAGAAACTCAGAATCACGGGGTCCCTACTTTAATATAACTCTAATTAATAAAAAATCAATAAAAAGAAGAAGTAAAATATTAAAATAGCATAACGTTTCATAGTTAACGTATACAACAATTTTAAAGATATTCCAATATTTTAAAGAAATGTCCACTATCAACTAGAGCCCGTTTGGCTCAAGCGACTGAATCTACTATATTAGGAAAGAATGATATTTAAATGATATGTTACAAGATATGAAAAAAGTCATATGAAAAAGTGGTTAAGATGATGCTCTACGGTAACTTCAATCATCTGGCCGAAAAAATGCTTTTAACTTGCTTATTTTAATTATTACAAATTCAGTGCGTGAATTCAAAAATTACGTGTTTCATAACGAAATTAGTTTATAAAACAGATAAACTGAAATTTGGAGATACATACTGACTTTACAGTAGTATTTCTTATGGAAAAAATTGGACATAGGTTGAGAAAATTAGATGCTTTGCAGTAGTATTTCTTTGGGAAAAAAATGGGCATAGATTGAGAAAATTAGATTAAAAGTTGGACAATAGAGAGGTGCATGATAACACTCAAAATCAAGCCTCCAACCGTTGCTCTAGCTCGGTATTTGTGTTCTAAACTAGTTTCGATTTTATAAATACAATGATTAGTTAATTTTATATAAAATATATACAAATATATATATAGGTATTTTTTTGGAGGTCCATGGTCCTGGGACCCCGTGGTACCCTTAGTGGGTCCACCACTGAATGGAAGCCATTCTAGCAACAAAAATCTTCACCGATTCAATTCTCAGCACAACAATCTTCTACAAAAAGTCTGAAAACCAACAAACTGTTGAAACCATCATCAAATGCATGTGTGACATTGGTCTCCTCCAGATGGCTACTCATCCATATGCCTTCTCTAGTTCTCTTTTTTGGTGAAATGTAAATATATAGATAGTAACCAAAGTTTATGTACATGATATGGACAAAAATGGAGGCATATCCAAGCATGTATACCCTATAACATCAGATGTTATGTAAGCATCCCCTAAACATCATCAAACTAGCAAAACATCAGCCTTCAAGCCGTGACAAAAAGAAGAGTTTGTGATTCAAAAATTAATCATATGATAAGGGTATATCGAGTAGAGCACTTTTGTAACACCCCCATTTTTTCCACCCAAATAAAATCACATTTTTAAATGAAACCATCTTTACTATTAAATATATTTAGAGTACAACGGAAGTCTTTAAGGGAAAAACAGGTGCGTCACCGCCACACTCAACCTATACATGATTGAGTGCACAGGCTATCCACCATAAGTTCAAATAAGAATGAAATAGATGTTATGACAAAGTTTATGAATTACAAATTTACACAACGATAATTAGTCAAATGTGTGTAACTAGCGGAACACTCGGCAGCAAGTACATCAATCTTCATAATCATAATCATCTGTACAATAGAGCAAAGAGAAGGAGGCAAAAGAGACAAAAATTAGCTTTAGAGCTAAGTAAGATTCCACCCGAACCCGTAAAATAATACAATTTGGAAAATAAGTTTGGTATATGTATATATATAGAAGATACCCTCTCATATTTCCAAAATAACTTCATGTCTCAAAATAATTTCTTCAATAGATAATGTCATTCCTCACTTCCTCCAAAAGTAATACTTTAGATTGCTTTTAAGAGTGGACGAAACTCAAGATTCCTCGAGCTTAGCCCAATGAGCCGTTGTTATTTACGACTCATCCTGGAATTCCGGCTCCCACCGACCACCAATTGGAAGCTGAATTTCTACCTTAAGTGTGCACACCCTATAAAAGGGATTCCAAGCCCTCCGGGTAGTAAGAAACTCAAGTAGGCGGGATGTTTTCTAGCACCTACTCACAAGGGACATTGTCCAAGGGTAAATTAGATAACTACTACTACAACCACCAAAGGACCTTTAGTCCTCAAATAAAAGCCCGGGATGTCTACCGGAGCATGTCATTGCCGGATTGGTTACCGACCCAAATAATTTCAACCAAAAGTATTAGTAGCCCTAACCACCCACACCTCGTGTTTCTCTCGAGATGCAAAAATATATTATGAAAAACTTTAAGTTTTTCCCAAAGTCATTCTTGTCACACTTTCCAAGAATATACTTTGTAATAAATATCAATCCACCAATATTCTTTAATAAAAAGAATGTACATTTAATAATCCATAATAGATAATAATCCACCAATATCCATACATTCAAAATATCCATTCCATATCAAACAAATAGTTTCCAATTCATAAATAATTCACATAGTTCAAATATTGCATACATATAAGTACGAGATAAAACATTTTTGGTTGACATAGAACTTACCTTAAATTGCGATAATCCTCTTAATAAAATCTCTAGCCTGGTCTTCACTTGAATTCTCCTTCTAATATATATCAAAATTCTAAATCAATAACTATTCTATTATTTTTGTTATTTCCTATCGATCTATTCAACCTTTAGTTATTTTAACTTCATTATTCCTTCTTTAAATACA